CAAGCACTCCAGCCACACTCCTTGTCCCCTTTACCTATCTATCTTTTAATTGGGTTATTTGTTCTTGTGAGTTGAGTTCCTTAGATATTTTAGATATTAACTCCTTATCATTGTATGGTTTTCAGGTATTATCTCCCATTCTGGAAGTTTTTTCACTGTGTTCATTTTTTTTTTCTTTTGCTGTGCAAAAGCTTTTTAGTTTGATGTAATCACATTTGTCTATTTTTGCCAGTGCTTTTGGCATCTTATTCAAAAAGATCATTGCTGAGACCATTGTCATAGAACTTTTCTCCCATGTTTTCTGGTAGCTTTACAGTTTCAGGTATTGTATTGAAGTCTTTAGTCCTTTTTAAGTTGATTTTTGTACATGGTTTGTGCCAGTGTTTAACTGCATTCTTCTGTATGTAAATATCAGTTTTCCCTACACCATTTATTGAAGAGACTGTCTTTTCCTCATTGTGTTATTGACATGTTTACCAAAACCAGTTGTCATGTTCTTGATCTGCTCTAAGCATCGCTGTCTTTTAATTGGTGCATTTAGACCATTGTCATTCCAAATGACACAGTTGATATAGTACCTCTCATGTTTGTTACTCTTTTCCCTGTTTACTTTACTGTTTGTTCCCATTTTTTGTTTTGCTTCTTTTCTGCATTTTTGGTTTTAATTGAGCATTTTATATGATTCTATTTTCTTTCTTGTTTTGATTATGGTTTTTCAATGTTTTTAGTAGTTACCTTTGAATTTACAATACATATTTACAACTACTCCACGTCTACTGGATTAACACTGAGTCAGTTCCTGCCTCTGTTATAGGGCTAGGCAATTGTAATTCCTTCCTTCCTGCCTGTTCATCATTGCTTGTCATTCATTTCAGTTTTATTATACACAAGCATACATACATGCACCCTGCATACTTAATCAAATATATTGCTGCTGTTCTTACTTACCAGTGAAGATCAATTAAGAATAAGATAAGCAGAAGTCTTGAGTTTACTTCATTCCTTTTGTGCTGCTGTTCCTCTCTCTGTGTAGAGCCACATTTTTCACTTGTGTTATTTTCCTCCTCTATAAAGACAAGACCTGTTGGTGGGTCTTTTGGCAACAACTTCTCTCAATTTCTGTCCATCTGAGGAAGTCTTTATTTCCCCTTAACTTTTGAAGTTTATGTCACAGAATTCTGGGTTGGAGGCTCTTTTCTCTATACTTTAAGTATTTCCCTTCATTCTTCTTGCTTGCCTGGTTTCCAAGAAGATGGTTTTAATTCTTACCTGTATTCCTCTGTAGGTGTGATGTGCTTTTTATTGTTCACCTCTTTTTCTGCTAATAGTTTTTCTTTTCTCTTTTTATATTAGTGTATATTAACTGTACAAAGGGGTCTCATTGTGATATTTTCATACATACATACTCTAATAATTTTATTTATTAACTGAGTTCTTTAGCGTAAAATTTTGTAAGACCGGAGAGTATAGAAATTTGATGTAAGAGAGATTATAATTAGTGAGACTCATTATGTCAAAAAGTGTCACTGATAAATGTTACCTTGGGCATTTTGAAGGAGAATCTTCCATTTAATTAACTCCGGAAACCAGCGGCATTTCCAGGCATGGCATGAGTATCTCATGTGAAAGTATGACTGTCTCCTGAGGTTTGAGTTTTCATGGATTCTTTATTTTGACACATATGGGTTCTTAGGAAACATTTGGTAGTCAATTCATATGATGTCAGAACTGTAAATAAAGTTGTCTAATCCACCCATCAATTGCATGACCGGATTCCCTCTGTTATCGATACATGTCACTATATTGTTAGCTATATTGTCTCACTATATTGTTAGAGACATTGTGATGTCTCTGCCAGGTGAAACTCTGACACTTTTACCAAGCCTTCTATGTCTTATACCTTGTACTTATGTAAAAGTAGTATAATCCCATTATGAAAAGCCCTTTGGTCTTTTCCCTACTCATCTAGTCTTGTTATTTCAGCTCTATATATTAGTGTGTTAGTCCTATGATTTCACTTTCTGTTACGACATAGCTTTAAGTTCTTCCTTATGAGACTTGTTCTTTCATATTCTTTATTCATCTAGTTTCCTTAAGTTGTCATGCTTTAGGATGTTTTTTATCAGTCAGGTTCTTGGTAGTCAGCAAGAGAAAAAGAATTCGACTGATTCAAGTAGAACAAATAATTTATTGGGAGGACAGTTTATTTCACAGAATCAACAGTAAGGCTGATGAGTCAGGGTTAGAGAATGGGTAGAAACCAAAGAAAGTTTTGCAGCAGAAATACCTTCCAGGACGAACTGCCTGGTGTTTTTAAAGAAGCACCACTGCTTCTTTGTCTTTGCCTTACTTGCTTGGGGCTCATAGTCCCAAGGGGGTGAGTCTAAGTCTTAGTAATATTTCCATGCTTTGCTGCCAGGGATAAGGGAGGAGGAGAAGGAGGATCTCTTTTTGAGTCTACATAGGAACTCAATCCCTTAAACTAAAAAGAAAGTGGGAATATTGCTTATAAATAAAAAGACAGAAAATAAGAAAATATTACTGGTGTGGTGGCATACATCTATAATCCCAGCCACTTGGGAGGCACAGGCAGGAGTATTGTGGTCCAAGGCTGGCCACAGATATCAACATGAAAGTCTCTGAAAAAATAACTAACAGCTAAAACATGCTAGGGTGTGTGCTCATGTGCTAGAGCATCTGCTTAGCAAATGTGACACCCTCAGTTCAAACCTGGTACCATAAAAAAAAAAATGTGTAATATAAGTGGAATGCCCTTGGGGGACTGCCCCATTTTACCCCAGCTGGTTAGACTCCTAGCCTCCCTCACAGATATTATTATGCAGGTATTCATTATGAAGTCTGACTCTTTTTCCTTTGGCTTAGCAAACTAATTACTTAGCTGGAGTTTAGTGCCAAACAAATTTCCCAGGTAATCTTTTTATATGTGTTCTGTACTATTAAGATCAGCTTTGTCCCAATCTTGTCCTGGTACAATGATTTTCAGGATCAGAGATTGAAACCTGATGTTTTTCATTTTGGAGTATCATCTTTTTAGATGTGCCTAATTACTGTAGAGTGTCTAGAACAGTGATGGGTATGGAAATGCAGTGTGAACCACACATGTACTTTCAAGCTCTCTGCTAGCCACATTAAAAAAGTAAAAGAAACAGTAAGTTTTTTTTTTGGCAGTACTGTGGATTGAATTCAGGGCCTCATGCTTGCACTTTACCACTTGTGTCAAGCACCCAGTTCTTTGGCTTTGGTTTGTTTTCGGGTAGGGTCTCATGCTTTTGCCTGGGCTGGCCTTGGACTGCAATCCTCCTACTTCTGCTTCCTGGGTAGCTGGGGCTAGTGGCATGTACCATCATGCCCACTTTGCTTTTGAGATAGGGTTTCACAAACTGTGGTCCTCCTGTCTCTGTCTCCTAAGTAACTGGGATTGCAGGTGTACACTACCACACCTGGCTCTGAAATTTTAATAGTATATTTCATTTAACCTAATGCATCAAAAATATTTTTTCTAGATGTAATCAGTATGAACATTACTAATAAATGTTTCCCAGCAGGAAATATTTCTGAATAATCCATTTGTTAAAAAAGAATTTGTAGGCCATGTACTTGTGGCTAATGCCTGTAATCCCAGCTACTCAGGAGGCAGAGATCAGAAGGATCCAAGTTCAAGGCCAGCCTGGCCAAAAAAAAAAAAAAAATTGAGACTTACCTCAAAAATATCCAACACAAAAAGGGGCTGGCAGACTGGCTGTAGAGTGCCTTGAGTGCCTTCCCAGCAAGCGTGAGGCTCTGAGTTCAAAACCCCAATACCACCCCCCCCAAAAAAAAGTTGCAATAGAAGATTAGAAAAAATTTGAACTGAATGATAATAATGATGAAGACTAAGTCCTCAAGGAGAAGTTTATGGCATTAAAATGCAAATTTTTGAAATGAACAGCAACAGCAAAAAAGCCTGAAAGCCAGTGATCTAAGTACCCATTGGTAATTCTCTCAATAGGGAACTCCCACTGGGGTTGTGGCTTATGCCTGCATTCCTTGCTACTTGGGAGTAGAGATAGGAGGCTTGCTGTGCAAGGCCAGCCTGGCCAAAAATGTTAGCAAGACCCTATCTCAAAGAGAAAGGTGGGCATGGTGGGGCACATCTGAAAGCCCAGCGATGTGGGAGGTGTAGGTAGAAGGATCATGGTCTGAGGCCAGGCCAGGCAGAAAGCACAAGACCCCATCTGAAACATAACCAGAGCAAAAAGATCTGAGGGTGTAGCTGAGGTGGTAGAACTCTAGCTAGTGCAAGGCCTTCAGTTCAAACCCCAGAATTGCCAAAAAAAAAAAAACAAAAAAAAATAGGGAACTCTCTTAACCTAATAAAGGGTATGTAGGAGAAATGCACAGCTAATATTATACTTAAAGGTGGAAGACTGAAAACTTACCTTCCAAGATCAGGAACCAGACAATGGTGTGTCCTCTTGCCACTTGTTCTCAACATTACACTGGAGACACTTGCCAGAGCAGTCAGATAAGAGAACCTACGGAAGTGAGGGCAGCAGTGGGTGACTCTGGAGGTGGGTGGGTGAGAGTTAGGTAGGGGTGCAAGGTACTTTTAGATTGGTAGTCTATAGTCTATTTTTTGTAGTAGGTGGCCTTTACAGAAGTCTTTGCTTTGCAGTTATTTATCTGTTTATATTTTCTGCATTTGGGATGTTTACACTAGTTTTTTCTTTGCAATAATTTATCTGTACATTTATGTTTTGCACAGTTTCCTGTGTATTAACTTCACAACTGAAAGATTAAAAGGATTGGTACTTGGTGAGGGCTTGAGAAGACTCCAGTGCCATTTCTTAGTCTCTAAACTCAACGTCATATGTTAGTCTTGCAAACAGAATGAAAACTCGTCATGTAAAAAGTATTCGTTGGTAATTTCTTCACCCTAAGAGTTTTGTCTTGAACTTTTTATTCTCAGAATGGAAGGTAATATTTTTTGCTTCAATTAGGAGGTGTTGATGATGCTGGATTACTATGTGAGAGATTTCAAGGCACTGATCGACTGGATCCAGTTGCAGGAGAAACTAGAGAAGACAGATGCTCAAAGCAGGTAACCGACTGTACTATTAAATGCATGACAGCAGCCAGTGAAAACTTCATACTGACCTGTAACTTAAAAAAAATCTAGAATCTTGGGGCTGCATTTCTTGTTTGGTTTAATAACAAATATTTGTTGGGTACTTACCAGTGTAAAGTTCATCATTCAGTACAGAAATGTAATTGCTATGCCAGGCATGGTGACTCACCCCTATAATCCTAGCTGCTCAGGAAGTAGAGATTGGGAGGATCTCAGTTCAAGGCCAGTTCTGGCAAAAAGTTTGTAAACCCCATCTCAACCAGTAGCCGGGCATGGCGGTGCATGTCTATCATCTACGCAGGAAGCATAAATAGGAGGGTCGCAGTCTAGGCCAGCCTAGAAAGGGTCATCAGTGTGACTCAAGTAGTAGAGCCTAGCAAGGGCGAGGTCCTGAGTGCAGATCCCTGTCCTTCTCCCCCCACCCCCAAATTAATTGCCGTATATGACACATGTAGGAATTTGTGGTCTAGAGGTGTGATAAAGTAGATAAACTATTCTGGGTCTTCAGAGAATGATACAGCTCTTTCGGACATTGACGGAAAAGTTCATGAAAAACGCAGAGATGTGTTTAAAGATGTGCTAGCTCTTACCACGGGGCAGCTCTCAGATGAAGGGCCTGCTTGAAGTAAAAGCAGTGTGGGAAGGGTGTGCCTCCCACTGTGGGGGCAGCGAGGAGAACGGAGGACTTTGGATTGAAAGTGTGATGAAAGGTGGAGGTTCCTTTAGAAGGATTCTTTTGGAATATGCACACTCCGTCTTTGTTCTCTGTACCAGGCTGTGACTACTCTGCTGAAGGGGACAGACACAGTCCCGCCTCACAATGTGTGAGTATGACTGGGTGTGACTGTGTCCCTCTTACATTCATGGCTTGAACCTTGCTCACTGATGTGCCATTGCAGAGAGGTAGACCTTTAGGAGGTGATTAAATCAAGGTGGTGCCGTTTCCCCAGAGAAAACAGATCCGGGCTGCTGTCGTTTTGAATTTAGCCGTCGTTTGTGTTAGTGGGAAGAAACATCGCTCAGGGAAGGCATCTCTTGTCTAACCCCAGTCTGTTAGGCCCTCGGGGAGCCGAGAGACAAGCTGGGAGAGCTGCATTCCCAAGAAACCAAAGCCAGGGAAGCTAGGATTTACTGGTCTCTTTAACATTTTTGACTCTCACAGTGACAATTTTAGACACTTTCGTCGCCTGGGTGCATCTGGCCTAGGAGTCTTGGTTTATGCCCAGTAGTTTCCTCTCTGCCCTTGTGATAGGTGATTTGGTTTGAGGTGCATCCTTTACTTAGCTGAACCAAGCTAAGAGATCATTGCACTGATTTGGCACTGGTTTCTGTGTTGTCCTTATAAAGAAAGCAGAGGAAAGCAGGGTGAAAGAAAATGTACTAGATTCACAAAGAAGAGTGGGGAGGAAGGAAGTCATGTATGTGGTCCTAAAGATCTCCAGGTGTCATTCTGAAGCCTACATATCCCAGGCCGCATCCTCAGGACCCTTGATGGAGTTTTTGCCCTCTCCTCCATGTCCTTGATCTCGCTCAGTTTATATTTTTACAGTAAACCTTTATTTCCTTTTTCTTTTCATTTTTTAACTTGAGATTCACATTTTATCAATAAAAATCCAATATATTAAGAAAACTAGGCTTTTTCATGTTTGCTGATTCCAATCAGATAGTGGTAGCTGTGCTGGAGATTGTGCTGACTGAGATTCAGAGTCCAAGCGCAAGCTTCACAGACGGTTACCACCCCTGCCTGGGCCCTGTGGTTCAAAACATGCCTGTGGCATCTCCTTGTACCTTAACCAACTATCAGCGTCTCTTCTCTGCCTCACAAGACACCTCCCAGAGAGGGAAAACAGCTGTACGATTCTGTTTGATGGTAATATCCACCTTGTATACTTCAGATCATGCATCAAAGCTTACTTCAGACAGACTGGAGCTTTAAAGGTTAAAAATTGAAACAGTACAGCTTTAAAGAAAATATTGACAAACATTTGTAGTATGAGTAATCACTTTGTAAGAGAAAGGCAGAAGGTACAAAGGAAAGGATTAATTAACTTGATTTAATAAGAAGAAAATAAGCCCTGCTATATAAAATTAAAATGGTTGAAACACTAACAATAATCAGTATTTTACTGTAATAGTAATACTAGCAGCAGTAGTAAACTATTTCAAATCAATTATGAAAATGATACAAATCCCATAGAAAAAATAAGCCAAAGATATCAATATGTGAATCCCAAAAGAAATGTTCAAATGGCATAGCCAGGCATAATCCCCACTACTCAGGAAGCAGAGACAGGAGGATTGTGGTTCCAGGCCAGCTCAGGCCACAGAAAAAGAGTTAGTGAGACCCTATCTCAAAACACAAGCTGGACATGGTGGTCCATATGTATAAACTCAGTGGAGGTGGAAGAATCCAAGTTCTAGGCTGGCCCCAGGCAAAAGTGAGACCCTATCTGAAAAAATAAAGCAAAAAGGGCTGGGGAAGATACCAACCAGTGGGAGTATAATTTGTTACAGTCTGTAGTAAAGGTTATTTGGTAATAACTTGTCCAAAGCTTTAGACTTTTGAATACTATTTTATCCAAATTTTCATATCTTACTATTACTTTGTTAATGAGAGGGGGAAGTCCTCACCACCAGATTGAATGGAGAGTGACTGTAGGGACCGAGGGCAGAGGACTAGAGATGTTGCAGGGGAAACAGCTCATGAATCCTGCCAACTGGTTGGTTTTTGGGCCAGTGAAGGAGACAAAGAAGTTAAAGCAATTCTTAGCTTTTCCAACAGAGCCATGAACTCTGTGCTCCCACTCTGATGGGTGATTAAGTAGAAGAGACCTCATATTTTCCAGTGTATTCTTCATTTAACCCTCACCATTTTTTTAATCTTTTGATTGCTTTTCCACAAGCTAAGTTTTCTAGGACAGCAAACAAAGTAGGCTGACTTAGTAAATTGCCTTGGCAATGTTTTTCTCTGGGTATGTGAGGCTTGTGAGTCAGAAGAAGTGTGTCTCAGGTCTCTGTCACCCCTTGCCGTGTTGAGGTCACAGTGTTCTGGTTTTGTGCTGTATACATAGCATGGAAAATAGCAAGCTGTGTATCACCTGTGACTTCTTACTGTTACTATGGCAGTGTTCTGGTAAGCGGTGCTGTAGGGAAAAATTGTGACTTGGTTACATTTTTAGTCATTAATAACTAAGAAAAAGGTCAGTTTGTTTCCCCTTTCCTCTGTTAATTTAATTTTCTATGTCTGGAACTGTCAGACCTACATCACTGGCATGGGAAGTGAAGAAGATGTCTCCAGGACGTCATGTGATTCCAAGCCCATCAACAGATAGAATAAATGTAACAACAAATGCTCGAAGAAGCTTAAATTTTGGGTAAGATGAACTAAAAACATGCTTGCATTATAGTAAATTATTTTCTGTAGATAATTTGTTTATTGTAGTATAAAAGTGACATATGTCACCATGAAAATATTCATACCTACTTTTGTGAGTGAAACAGAATGCCACACACAGGTACCAACCCCTGGGAGAGGAGCTAGCTGTCCTAGGGGAGGACCCTAAACACCTGCATGGTTCTGTTATGATTCCTAGATCTGGTAGAAGGTTTTGCACAAACCCTGTTACCAGAATATGAGACTGGTAAGACAGCACTGGTACAAAGAGTCAAACCAACAAAAGCCTAGAATCCATGGCAGACGTTTCTCTTGAGACAGGAAAGCTGCCCATGTTGGATGAGTTTTGTCTGCTTATGATTCACTGATGACCACAGCTGACTGATCCCCAAAAGCACTCAGCTCTGAATTTTATACACTGGATGTCATCTGGGCTGCTGAGCTCTAGTGGTGCAGGACTTGCTGCTTGTAGAGGCAAAAGACAGATCCCAGACTGTTCTGAACAGTCTTGCAATGCATTCTTGTTACATTCTTCCACAGTGCAAGCCAGAGGGAAAGAACTGGGTTGGCTAAGGCTATTTGGGGACCTGTCTTACATTGTGTATATGTTTGAAATTGTCTGAATAAAAAGTTACAAAAACAGGAGGGTAATGTTTAGCTTTTTTGGAAATGTAATATATTAAAAAATAATTAGTGATCCAAAGATTAAAACCTGTTAGCATATTTCATGCTAAATTATCGATGTCATGAAATAGTAATTTTTTTGTATAACCAAAGATCTAAATGTATATCATACATTTTTTATTGGCATACAAGTTACATTTTTATATATTATAAGTCTGTCAGCCCAATTTTCTATTTTAGGAAGTCTTCTTTTGAATTAGGAGAAAAGAGTTATAAACAAAAACTGCATTTATAATGTCTTTTATATTTACATATGTTCTTATATATTTTAGCTTTTTACTGGGATTTTTATTTCTTCACATGGATTTGGGTTAGTCCAGTGTCCTCCCAGCTCATCCTGAAGAACTCCTGTCAGTATGTCCTGTTGGGCAGGTCTGCCAGGGACATACTTTCTCAGTTTTGTCTTAATGTATCTTTCAATTTTGGAAGGACAGTTTTGCAGTATGTAGAATTCTTTTTTTTTTTTAGACAGGGGCTAGCTGTGTAGCCAGACTGGTCTCAAACTTGTGATACTTGTTTGTCCATTCCTGACTGCTGGAATTTTAGGCATGTACCATCATGCCTGGTTTTATAATTTTTAAAGTCTATTTTTTTCCACCATGACCATCACTGAGGCAAGATCTTTGTCTTATCTCTGTATGGCACTTAGTAAAACCTAATTAAGTGTTCAATAGAGTTAAACTTTTGCTCTCATTTTCTTTGATGGAGTTATCAGATAGCATTTTGTTTGGTCAGGTTGATGGGCTTTAGAGTCATATAGCAGGGAAAGTATATAAGCAAATACAAGTAAACAGTATATATTTAAGAACTATCTTGGGGAAACTTGCTTTTCAGTGCATTTTGTTGGTCTGTGACTCAGTACTGTATAGTACATGGTATTGATTTTAGCAATGGAGGCCTTTAATGTATATGATGTGATCATTATCATACTGTTCTCCATGTTACCATGTTTTTGGGTTAACTGGCTTCTTCACTGTCATTATAAAGCTTAGTGTTTATTTCTGGTTGTTGAGCACTTGTGGTTCACAGACTGCCCATGGCACGTCACTCACTTTTGTTCATGCAGGTTGAGTTTTGTTACTGTAAATATGTTGTTAGTTCCTTATCTTATTTTGTGCAAGTTGTCTTCATTATTTTAACTCATAATCTAAATGTTAAGTAGACCAGCGCTCTATGAGTGGCAAAAGAGTTATTGTTTCTGTGAAAACTAAGATAAGGTTCTGGAAGACTTTGATAAAAGTGAACTATGAAAATAAAGCTGTGTGGATAGAACAGACATGAAAGTTAGGAAAAAGTAAGTTGAGAAGAATTGTGTCATTGATTCTGCACTCCCCTTAAAGGAACCAAAATTGGATATTGTCAGTGAGTCATTGTGATTGTGATTCAAGGAAGAGATATACACAAAGAAAAAGCCAGTTTTAGTAATGCCTGTTTCATGACTGGCAAATTAATTCACATTGATAGGTAAAAACACATAAGTAAAAAATGAAAGTTTAAAGTATTTATGCATAATATTTTTTTTGCATTTCCCATTTAGTGAATTATTTTTTCATGACCAAAAAGGCTTTTATGTGATTTCTTTATTCCTATACATTATAGTATATTACACAAAATTAAGTATCACATCAAAGTAAATTAGTGAGTGTCATTAACTTAAATTGCTATGATAGTGTATTATTCTATAAATGTAAATTCCAACACGCATGATTCATTTAAAATTTAATATTTTATGTGAAATATTTAATATTTTTAATATGTGTTTACTTTGATATTTAGTTCATTAAGTGTATTTTTCTCCTAGGGGCTCATCTGGCACAGTGGCTGCTCCACGTTTGGCTCCCACGGGTGTCAGTTGGGCTGACAAGGTAAAGGCTCATCACACAGGCTCAGCCCCTTCCTCAGATGTAGCACCTGCTCAACCCTGCCCACCAATGACAGTATACAAGGCTCCCCGTAAAAATGGCAAGTGGCTTTGAATTAACCTTTCTATATACTGGACAAATGGATATATGTAGAGATTTATATTATTTAAAATTGGTCTTTCATAGAATTATTATGTTCTCTATGTGATATTAATTTACCTTGGTTAAAACCATAAAATCTAGACTAATGATGTAGCTTAGTGGTAGAGTGTTTGCCAATATGTATGAATCCCTGGATTCAAACACCTGTTCCATACCAAAAACAAATAAAAGCTGAGCATAGCTCAGCTGTGACAGCTAGTGGAGATCATTCCAATTTCATGTTTGTCCTATATAAACTTGAAGGAGAACGATGTCTTTTTTTAGTTCACTAATATCCTTTAGAATGAATTTTAATTAAAAGTAGAAAAAGGAAGCTGCTGCATTCTTTAGGCATTACGTACTTTGGAGTAGCATGTTGTAATTTTAGCTGATTAATACTTATTATTTTGTTACTACAAAATAATGTGTGTGTCTTTGCATACATGTTTGTTTTATATGCCATCAAACAATTAAGGAATACAAATAACTAGAAGGTTTATTCTTAGGGCCTACCTAGGACAATTTGTCCTTTAAGAATTTCCTTCATAGGATCTTTTCATGTAGAAGTCCATGGATTCCTATTTGTGTAGCAGGCTGGGATGTGAAGAATTGTAAGTGACAGTGAGTTTGTGGGATGAGTGAAGGGGACTCCAGAGCTATCATCTTGTCTAGTGGGAGATCCCTTTGAAGCGTTTGGTTCAGAAAGCTTTATTGCACACAGCAAAAGCATTGCTGTCTTTTATTATGGATGTGCTTGTTTTTGTTTATCTGTTTTAGTCTCAGTAGTGTTGACTTACTTCAAGAATGTTCCTTACTTTGTACTCAATATATTGCCCTTGGTTTCTTCCAACAGGCTGACTAGCAGTAAATTGACAGTAAGCAAGAGCTCTCTATTAGCCTGTAATTAGTTCAGTTGCTATGGCAAAATACTAGACACTTAGTAGATCACAAAGGAAAAAGGTTTATTAGCACATAGTTTGGGAGGCTAAAGTCCAAGACTGGGTGGCTCTATCAGTTTGGCCTCTATTGAGGGCCTCATGGTGGATATGTCACCGTGATGATAGTGAGAATGAGATAGGAAGCCAGAAAATAGTTCAGGTGTCAACTTATGTCTTTTACAATAACTCCCTCTGTGAGAACTACCTTAATTTCTTCAATGGGCAGCACCCCTTAGTGACCCAGCCACCTCCTGTTAGGCCTTACTTCTTAAGGTCCCACTGTCTCAACACCTCCAACACGTGAACCCTTGGGAGACAAACCACATCCAAACCAAAGTAGGTTCTTTCTCTTAGAAAAGTGGGAAAATGCACAGTCATCACACTTTAACATCTGTATCTTGAAACAGTCTGAGAAAAATTGTGTTAAAAAATCCAAATTATGGAAATCTTAAAGGAATCATAGAATTAGGACATACTGTGGCTTTGCTTAAACCAGTACTTGGAAATTATTCATGAGCAACCCTTTTGGTTGAGTTGACATGATTTGGCATGAGTTGACATGCTTAAATCCTACTTTAAGGTATTGGAAAATTTTGTTGTGGACCACTTTGATTTTTAGTTTTAGGGTTTTAGTGTGCTGTTATTCATAGTGAGTTATGGTATATGCATTAAGTAATTTGTAATATCAGTGGCTATAGTATTAAAGTTTTTAATTATGTGCTATAAAAATAATTCTAGTTACAGATGACTGAGAGACCACATGCATTTAACCTACTCTTCCCCAAATCCAGATAAAATGGTTAAAAGGGTTAAAAAATTTGACTTAAGAAAAATGAGGAGAAATGATCTGAACAAATTTTTGGGAGCTAGAAAGAAAAATGATCCCTGGTAACTGGTAGAATTCTAGTGAACTGGCTGAACCCATGATAAAAAGAGGGGCCAAACTGAAATGCAACCCAGTTTGGTACACAAATCCCCTCAAATTTTAAAAATGGTGCGAGTATCTTTAGAAGTAAGGGGAAGGGTGGTGGTTTGAGAAGCTTAGTTTCCTGGGCCCCTCCCCTTTGCTATGAATGGTAGCATGACTGCCACCTCTACCTCAGAAAAATGCTTGAGGTTTATTCTCTAGAGATAAAAACAGATATCTGATCCAGCTCATTGGAAGGTAGGAGTCACATTAAAAACAGGGAACTGAGAGAAAGACTCTATAATGATTATGTTGAGGTCCCTCATCCTTGCTTCCACCTTCAGCCCTGTTCTTCCAGTAAACATCCAGGTTGTCAGCTCAGCAAAACCCATACCCAAGCCACACATCCAGATCTGATATGGATCATGACTGCGCTTAAAAGTTGAGTCTATGAAATGGCAGGCCATTGAAGTCTTGGGATACTTTGGCACTCTGCAGCAAGATTGTGGATTATGTAAAGATGGGTGCCAGCAATTTCTCCATTTCCTGTGTTCAGTTTCACTCCCACTGCTAAGTGGTAGAGTCTGTTTCCCTTCCTATTGACTCTGGTTGGTCATATCACTTCATGTGGTCACTAGCATATGACAAGAATGATGCTTTCAACTCCTCAGTATCATAGCTTAGAGCTTCTATTTTCTCCTTGTTGGATCCAACTGAAAACAAGCACAGGATAGATTGGGTAATGAGTGACCATAAGAAGAGAAAGAAGCCATAAGAAGGAGAACCTAAGGTCGTAGCCAAAAGCCATTATTAAGGATTCAAATCTGCGACGAAACCATCATGAATAAATGGTCTCATTTGAACTACCCTAGTGGAGAAGAGATGAACCATCTCACTGCTCAGATTTCTAGTTCAAAGAACTGGGTGGAAATAAAATAGTTACTGTTTTTAGTGGCTAAATTTTTGCATTTTATGTAGAAATAGATAATGGGCATATCCAGTGTTTGGATAGCATAAGGGATAAAACAAAGGAGGAAATCATAAAAGTGATAACTTAAGGGAGCTTCCTGTGACACTAAATCATGTTGAGAAATTTATGAATATTACAAATGATGAACATCTATAGATGGTTACAGAGAAAATAATCAGTTTGTATCTAAGTGGTCAAGAATTAGAATGGCATCTGCTTTTGCAAAAGTATTACTAGAAGCCACAGTAAAATGAAGTCTTAAGAATTCTGAAGGAAAATTTCTAGTTTAGAATTTTATGTCTGACCAGATTATCCATTATAATGGAGAATAAAGATTTTTTTAAACATGTATTGTCTCCCTCCCCTTACCTTCCCTGCAGTTATGCACTGCAAGCCTAATCTCTGTTAAGCCCTGTTTAGAATGTTGATTTCATGTTAATACCTTCATGTGTGTACTGCTTGATTTTTTTTTTTTTAACCCATTGACTAATTTGAGCTATTGGGCTTGAGTTGGCTGCCTCAAGTGGGGAGCTACCAGCCAAGCAGTCCCTAGGCAAACAACTGGCCTACCCCCTAAGGCAGCCCATCCTATCACCACTCTGAGGAGATTCCACTCCAACTGTAAAGACCCCTGCAACTGAAGATAAGACTCCTGCTCCAGAAATCCCTGCTCCAGCCACTTCTGCTGGACCACTTGCACTTGCTTCAGCCATCACAAGCCTTGGTGAATTCCAGATGACTGTCTTCACTGTGCAGCTGTTCTCATTCAGGCCAGACAGGGAGTCCTCCCCATGACTTCATAGAAAGGCCTCATGTGAGCGTTGTGATTGGTGGAATGAAAGCTGTGTTGTGATTGTTGCAAAATATAATAATACATTTGCATGCCACCTGATGCCTCACCACCCCCCACCCCCATAAGCAGGCTGTTGGTTTCACTTTTCAAGTCAGCTGGGAGATACCCTCCTGTGCTGCCCCCTGGTTTTACAATATTAGGCCCAACAAAAAGCTTCTCTTTGTGATCTTTATCATGGGTAAAGCAGAGTGAGCTGGTAACATGAAGAGGAGTTGGTGGCTGGCATGGGTGTACACACCTATAATTTCAACTGCTTGGGGGGCAGAAATAGGATTGCAGTTTGAAACTAGACAGGACAAAAGTTAATGAGATCCTATCTCAAAATAAAAGATGCTGGGTGTGGCTGTGCACACCTGGAGATAGGAGGATTTCGGTCTGAGGCTGGCCTTGAGCAAAAAGTGTGAGACCCTATCTGAAAAACAAACTAAAAATGCAAAAGTCCTGGGAATGAGCTCAAGTGGTAGAGCATGTAGAAGCCCCAAGTTTCAATCTTGAATGCTGCCAGGGGAAAAACCCCCCAAAAAACCAAGAAACAAAATGCACCAAACCAAAGCAGAGGCAGTGGCAGCTACAGTAGTGAAGGTGGCTGAGGAGTTCCAGAGAGCGATCAGAGGCAGAGCCAGCTACCAGCACTTGCTGCAGAGGTGATAAGGAAAGTTGGTGGAAGTATGAGAAAGCAGAGAGTCAAGATAGCAAAATTAAAGACAAGGGACTATGGGCCTGGTGACTCGAAGAGTTCTAGGGAGCTGCCAGGCCCTTAGGGCTGAGGGTTCCAAGGCCTGAGAGCTGTTACACTGGCTCGGGCAAGGGTCAAGTGTCCTGATGCCTGAGGCCCAGGAGCTATGGCACCTGCTGGTGCTAAAAGCCAAGGGTGTAGATACCCAAGGCTTGGCGCTGTAACACTAACGGCCGCTGACCACTGCTGCTGCTAAGAGCTGAGGACCTGGAGCTGTGTCTCTGGCTTCTGAAGCTTAGAGCCGTAAGCCTTTAGTTCCCAGGGCTTGGAGCTGTAAGCCTCCGAGTCTGTCAGCTCAGCCTGTAGACCTTGGTGCTTCAGGGCCCACACCGCCAGCACTGGAAGAGCTTCTCCTTGCCTGCTGGTGATTACATCTCATTAGAGCAAAAGAACCCCACTCAGCTGATTGGTAGCTCATTCATCTTGTTTTTGGGGTGCCTTATTGAATTCATTTCTAGTCCCCCTTCTCCATGCCCTTCTTCATCCCTAGCAACCAGTGTTCTGTTCCATTCTTCTTTTTTTTTTTTTTCTTTTCAGTTAGTTTTTTTTCTTTTTGAGACAGGGTCTCACTGCATATATCATGC